AGGAAAAATAATTACAACTAAAATGTTAAATTTTCTATATGACTCAAATAAAAGTTAAGAAGGAAATTCATTAATAATATTAGGTTGATGATAAGTATGAATGACAGTAGCTCAGGTTGAGAAATTTCAGGCTTTTGTTACATTCAGTTACACACAAATAGCCTTGGAAAAGGCTTTAATCTGTCCTTTCTTCAGGTATGGGTTAAATAGTAGGATTTGGCTTGAAAATATTTTTAAAATTGTTAATGTTCACTCACAAAAAAGAATTTAAATAACATACGACTAGAGAGTGTTAATGTAACAGAGTAGAGGTAAAGGCTGTGGGCAACAATAAGAAAAGCCGAAATGTAGCCTCTATATCCCAGATCCAACTACGGTCAGTGATACGATACAACCATGATGATTGTCTATTTTTCTGAGATGAGGGATTGTAACTGGACTACTTCAACCAACGCTTTTATCTACTTGGCCATTGAGAGTTGAGTTACTAAAGGAAATAACTGAATATATCCAGAAAAAGGCACGTGGAACTAGATAAAGCTACACCAGCCGACGAAATAAAGTGTTCGGTTTGAAATTCCAAGGTAATTCCTGAAGAAAGCCGGAGCGTACAACGAATGAAACATCGTGAATATGTCAATAACGACAACAGTTCGAACAATTTAAATAGTGCAATTTGCTAAAATGAGTATTTTAATCATCAAATGTAGAAATACTGATTTTGGTTTGGTTAGTTTAACTGGATGAAGAAGTTCTCAATATTTACGCAAATGTTGTTACCAGAGACTAATCAAGAAGTGATAAATCTTTATTCGCAGTTGTTTCATTTTAGGACAAGTTTGAACATTGCCTGATCTGAAAACAAATCAAGATAGATTCGAGGCTACATAGTCTTTACGTGTATTTGATATAATCCGTGATCGATTGAAGAACAAATCAATAAACTTATTGGTACCTGTGAATGCAGCTTAATTAAGTTGGTCAGTTCTCTGAAAAGAGTTTGTATCTATGTAAGGTGCCGATCCTAGCCATCATCTTGCGTGTATAGTCTATAGCGTGGGTAATCTTATTTTAAGATTATTGTGATATATTTGTCATACGTGAAACAGATGAAGATATGATGACAAAGGAAATGGTGCATGTGTGTGTGTGCGCGTGTGTGTTGTATGTGTGCATATGTTCGTGTGTACTTGAGTGTATGTGAGAGTGTGTGTGCGAAGAAAAAGTTAAAGACAACGAAAGAAAAGTACATTTTTAACGATAAATAAACAGTGTAGATGTATGGGGAAGACACATTTATAAACATTTCCAAAGCAAGTAAGATGGAATACGTGAAAACCCAGGTGGATTTTTAAATTTTTGTTTAGTTTCTCTTTCAACGAGCCTTTTCAGAATAAGGAAGGACACATAGCCATACCCAATTTCCTTCTTAGAACTGAGGCCCTACTGAGCGAGTTGCAGATAACCCCGTCATTGGTATTGGGCATTATCTCTAATTTAGACCGCCACAAGGCGAGTGAAGGAGATGGAATACCAGCCATTGTCTTGAAGAAATGTGCGCCTGAACTGGTGCCTGCCCTCTCCAAATTATACAACTACTGTCTCAAGAAATCTTGTTTTCCAGACTGCTGGAAGTCCTCGTCGATTGTTCCTGTTTTTAAGAACTCTGGCGACCCCTCTGACCCTTCTAATTACCGTTCTATCAGTCTCCTACCCCACTCTGGCAATGTTTTCGAAGCTTTAATCAACGCCGAAGTGGTTAACCACCTTATATCCCATGATCTGCTCTCAGACAAGCAATATGGTTTCCGCTTTGCCCGATCTACAGCTGTTGTGCTTACGGTTATCACTGAAATTGTCTACCAAGTTCTTCAGAATAACGGATAAGCTCGTGCCGTGGCCCTAGACATCTCCAAATGGTTTGACAGAGTTTGGCATGCCAGGGTTATGGTATTACAGGTCGATTGTTTGACTTAATACAATCATTTTTGTCAACCGTGAATTGAAGGTCGTTCTCAACGGATTCTCCTCCAGCTCCTATCCCACGAACGTAATTGTTCCCCAAGGCTCTATCCTAGGCCCTACTCTATTCCTTATCTTCAGCAACGATCTTCCTGACGCCATTGATTCCCAGGTGGACATATACGCGGACGACACTACAATTTACTCGTGCCTCAAAAACTAACCTGACCGTTCGTCTCGAAAAAGGACCTCCAATCGGTTATGAACTGGGGCAGTAATTGGCTGGTTAACTAATACCTCCAAAACCAAACTGGTCTCTATTAATCACTAGAGAGATCCTTCCCATCTGCCTATTAGAATGTCTGCGGCTGCTCAGTCTCACGTTGTCTATTGACCTGAGATGGAACAAGTACATTGAGTCAATTGCTTCGTCCACCGCAAGGAAAGTTGGCTCCCTGTGTCGCACCAGGAATTTTTTCTCCCCGGAATCGATCCTTCATATCTACAAATCAACCATTCGCCCTTGCATGGATTATTCCTGTCATATATTGTCTGGAGCCCTTCTGTTTGCCCCTGGGGTTCTTGATAAGATCCAGAGACGGATATGCAATATAATTGGCCCTGATCTGGCATCTCGCCTGCTGTCGCTCTCCCACAGACGTGCGTCGCCTCTCTGTTTTTTGTTTATAAATACTTTCATGGTAATTGCTCTGATGAGCTGCTTTCGCTGGTTTCCAGAATCGCGAATTCAAGCGTCCTACGAGGCTGGCATCCCGCTCTCACCCTTTCACTGTTGAAACTGTTAAATGTAGCCGCCTCTTCTATACCAATAGTTTCATGTCTCGCACCTCTCGCCCGTGGAACTCCCTTCCCTAATTCATGTTTCTCTGATAGCTATAATCTCCAACTATTCAAATGAAATTTCAATCGACATCTCCAGTTGCCTTGATCTACCCACTATCCTTCTCCTCATCCTCTCCTCTATTATTCCTAACTCACTCCAAATCTTCTGTTACCCCTTGCGTGCTAGTGGCTTCCCGCCTTGCTAGAGGTGAAATGTTTAAATCCTAATTACCATTATAATTCTGGTGGAGGCACGGTGGAGTAATGGATAACATCTCGGATTGAGAATCGGTTCGAATTCAATGAAATCCATTACATTCACTTACGTGCGAATACCCTTGGGAAAGGTATGAATCCTCTTCTTCTCCCCGCCACAGGACAGCCGCTAGCCTTGGATGTTTCAGCCGTTGGAAGGCTCTGAACATCTTCAGATGAAGCCTTTATTTAATTTAAAGGTGTAAATTGTTCTAATTCCACGCCTTTTTCTGGATAACTAAGTTTCTACTAATTCCCTTTAGTAACTCAACTCTCCAAGTTTTTTTCACCCCTTGCCTTAGACAGGTATTGACCTCACAACTCTTTCGGTCAGGTCCGGGATTTTTGAAACAACGGTTTTATTCACTGGGCCATGTATCTTTGGGGACCAAATAAAGGGTTCGGCCAGAAATATAGGAAAATAACAAATAAAATAATGTTATGTTGAAGCAAATAAACAAATATATTAACATACATTCAAATAAAACCGAAATGAAAACAGCTGAGGAAAGATAACGTATTCGTTTTCAGAGTATCGTTTTTGAATACCATGTATGGATTTTAATTAAGAAACTCTTATTCAGTTTTACTCCCTTTTCTCTATGTAGGCATACAGGCGGTCCAGACCTTCTTCTTATCTCTCCTAAACAGCCTAATCTTTTATATCCAAGTGGCGGGAGGTCAAATGCCCCAACAGATTGTAATTCACATTGTAGGTTTCCCTTTAGACACAAGTGAAAAAAGAACGATTGTCTCGTTTCAATTTATGGTTTCTAATGATGATTCCTGCAAAGACTAGAAGTCAGGCTGACGTTTTTGCTACCAGTTACTTCCTGAGGATTTTAAACACGGAATGTTTACCACACCAGATTCGATAACATTAAAGGGAAAATTGTGAAGTATGTGGTACGTTTTCTGATTTTTATGTATTAACAAAGAAAATTACCAACATGAGATCTCAGAGTGGTCATGGGCAAAGATTTAGATATTGATGCCGTGTTATAAATAAATTATTCAAGGTCTGCTTTAAATATTAACACTTTTTGAACACGGGGGATTTTATTTCTGCTTATTATCATACCAAAGTGTTATTTGCGTTGAATATATCTCCTTTGTATAGTCTTTTCAAAGCTGATATATTCAATTACAAACTTATTTCAAATGCGAATATATTGTTGTCGTCTTTTGATGCTTTCATACGACGACAGACTTGTAAATCGTTTTAGAAGCCGTTTGTTCATAAAGCAAGCAGTGAATATTTTATTGCACACTACGATGATTATTCCAAAGTTACGACAGTCTTATATGGCAGTAAATTGTGAACGTTTCATCACAGATGAAGATGAGGTTCGAAGCGAAAGAGATGTGGTTCTACAGAAGGATGCTGGGAATACCGTAGAGAAAAACTGAAGTCACGGAGGAATGTTTAAGGAAAATGAGAGCTAGAATGACTCAAAAGTATTTAAATTTCTTGGACCCATGGTGAGGAAAGGGGATTAGAATATAGCACCCACAGGGTATACTGAAGCTAGTAAAGTTAGAGGAGTCAACGAGTAACAATGATTAACGAGTTTGTTTGAATAAATGAAAGTATCAGAATGGAAAAGTAAAAAATTGTTTAAAATTACAAGAGACAAGAAGCTATAGAGAGCTATGATCACCTACGTCATGAAATGAAAAGATTCTTAACCCAGATACAGACACACGGTCTCAATATTGAAAAAAAAATTACTAGTAATAGCTTTTGACACTATGTCTCTTTTATTAGTCGATTATACATCGAAGACTGCACCATCAAACACAGTCTTCGATGGACAGGGTATATATATACAGAACAGCAATAAATGACTGACATTCGCGCCGAATTATTTACAAAGAAATCAGCATTGGGCACTACTTCCCTATGTTTCCTGTCCCTATAAGAATAACTGAAATAGCCTATGAAAAAAGGTCCATATCAAGCTCCAAATCTAGGAGGAAATAGCAAAAAATCGAACTCTGTGTCGTCAGAATATTTTTCTCAAAGGTTTTTCGAACAAGAATGCGACAGAAACAAGGAGGAAGAAACGGTAAAGATGGAAGGAAGGATCGACAAATTTAACTAAGATCAGTTCCACTCAAAAGATCTATCCTGGCTGGGTGAATGTTTCCCTACAGAGAAGGGTTTACGAGACACCAAAAGATAGACGAAATGAGAAGAGTTGTGTCTAGTGTGGCACCTTGCATTATTAGAAATATTCATAGAAATATGATTTAATTTTTTTTTTTACTCGGTTTATTAAACAGGTTGTTGATTTTTTTTTTTAAAACGGAAAATAATTGAGTTGAAAATAATTCACTAAGATTGTACTTAGACGATCCTAAGGGAAGAAGAAGAGGAAAAAAAGAAAAAGAAAAAAGAGAGGTCGAGAAATACAAAAAGCGCTCATTAAACAAAAAAACAGGAGTCAGAAAGATATCTTAGCTAGCATGTTGACCGAATTTTTTAAAGACAATTGGAAGAATAGAATTAGAAATAATAAAAAAAGAAAGAAAGGGAAAAGACATGATATCAAAACGGGCCGCTTGATGAAAACCAGATATCGGTCAAAGCATCTAGCCTACTTTTTTGCGTAGAAAGACACCTTATCAATTTGGATAAAGGGAAATTTTGGGAACAATGAAAACGAAATCTTAATCAGAGAAAAAGTGTTTTTTGGGTTGAGGGGAGTGACCGGTGGAATTGTATACAGATTCTGACCTGTTAAAAATTAGAACCCCCACATTGATAAAGTGAAAGATATTTTCAATTTAGATAATTAAGATTTTCTGACTGTCGGGTCTGACAAAGAGGTAAAAAAGGGACGATTGTCTCAGTTCACAGAGGGCGCCAATATTCTTCCCTGAAGTCACATCTAATTAGCGGCGGGCTGTTTGACAAAGCCCAGGTGAGAGAAAGCCAAGATTGTCATTTTTCGTACGTGCAGAAAAGGCAAAATTGGATTTTGTTTTTAAAAACAAGAACGATGTAACCCCGCCCGAAAAGGAGGAGAAAGGATGCTCGATCAATAACAATTGGTCGGAAACGGTCACGTGATCTGCAGAAAAGAAGAGAAAGAAATGCCCGATGCCTGAGGAACCATTGGTCGAAAAACGGTCACCTGACATACGAGAGACTAAGAGAGATGGGTGTTCACCTCCCCACCAAAGGGCACTGTGAGGAAGTAGGGGTGAAAACAATAGCGATAATGGGAAATCAAAAATAATGCGACTTTTGGAGTTATTGAGAAAACCCTGACGCCGACAGACCCACCCCAGTTTGTTGCGGCGTCAATAAAAGCAGGACCCCAGTCGACAGAAATCAGTTGGAGTGGAGTTGCAGCTGGACCGCGGGAAGGGAAAGAGCCTGAACGCGGGCATCGGGCCCGATTCACTCGCCCCTTTGCGGGCAAAAAGAATCCTCAGACAAGAAATCCTTCCAGCCCAAGTCGAAGAGAAAGAACTTCCAGCCCAAGTAGACGAAGAAGAAGAAGATTGCTCGAAGGACAAGAAGAGTTCAGCCCGGACGGCAGCGAGAAAGAGATCACCTCGGACGACAGAGAGTTGCGGCTGAGTTGCGGCAAGAGATCCTTCCAGCCCAAGTCGAAGACAAGAGAACTTCCAGCCTAAGTCGACGAAGAAGAAGAAATACAACTCAAGTCGAAGAGAAGAATCAACCGCGAATGATCGATAGAAATTAGCCCCAGTGTCGAACCAAACCACACTCCGACATACACAATTCTAAAAAGTAGGCAATTCGAAATCTTTTAGGTTGTGTGATAGAAGCTTGGTGCCATAGTCCACAGAGCGGGTCGGGAAATGAGAACAATTTTGTTTTTATGTAACGGACATTAAGATATAAAAGGTTGTTACCTTTTTTTTCATCAGCAATTTTTTGTCTCGTGAGTTTTTTTTCTTTTATTTGTGTTTTGCCACCCCGTCGGACTCAACTTGTATCGGCCCCAATCCCTGCTGGTCCCGTCTGTCTAAGATCTAAACACAACGTGGGTAGACAGACCGGAGATCGGTACAGTTGCTTTAGTGACCAGGTATTGGAAGCGAGTCGGGAAAGGCGAGGCTGGTGATCATCTGACAAAGGGGTTGGAGCGGCACGCTTGGACCCAGGAGGAGCGACCAGGAGGAGCGACGTCACCGTTGGCGCCGTAACCAAAGGATCCGACCCTGGGCCAGGTGTGTAACCGTCACACCTTTATAAGAGCAAAATCAGGCCAAAATTGAGTATTATTGCCATATATGGACATGAGACGATCAGTTTTCACTTTCAGTCTAAGACCCGACATTCTACGTGAACCCAGAAAATACCTTCGTATTCCATTGCTGAGATGTCAAAGAATATTTACTCCGAGCAGCTTCTTCCCCCGAACCGAATTTTATGGAACCGACTCCCAAGCTGATGCGTCCCCAAACACTACAGTCTTAAACTGATCAAATCACGCGTTAACCCATATTTTCTCTGATATTCGCATAAAATGTGCCTCTTACTTTGTAACACTCTATCTCGAGTGGCTCTTGGTCCTTGAATAGGATGAACATCATGTAAAAAACAGAAACAGAAGAAAATATTACATATACATAATGCTTTCCCATACTAACTACTAAAAATATACTCTACTGGAATTCGAACTGGGAACGTTGATTCTGATTGTTGGTGACGATATCCGCTATGAAACCTTCTGACGCAAAATATACGTAGTTTGTTAAAAAAATTTATTTGTTTACCTTATGGAGGACCTGACGTGTAAAAAATAATCAGACCAAATCCTTTTCTACGAACAGGAATAGACTGCAATGGTGTCCATTTTTTTCCCAATAGTTTGAAAGAAATAAATCCAGAATTTATTATCAAAAAGTTACAAAACAATTCTCTCCAGCACTCATTCTCGCTCGCTCACTCCCTCTCTCTCTCTCTCACACACACACACACACACACACACACACATACACAGATATATGTGTGCAGAGTGCTCGTATGTGTTTGTATGTGTGCGTATGTTTGTTTGCGTTATTTTTCTCACATGAGAATGAAGAAGGAAAAAATACAATCATACCGACCAAAAATGTGGCATGTGTTTTTTCTCTGAAATTGGACACGCAAAGCTAAGGGACTCTTTCATTTTTCTTCAGTGTTAAATTCAAATTCAGTGTTAGCTATATCTCTCTCTCTCTCTCTCTCTCTCTATATATATATATATATATATATATGCAAGAGTGGGTGATATACATGTGTAAGTATATGCATATATGTTTATGTGCATCGGCGAATATATATATATATATACATGTGTGTGTGTGTGTGTGTGTGTATGTATTCGCTCATTCGATTCCACAGCTCTCTCTCTCTCGATCGATCGATTAATCTTTCTTTCTCTGGGCCTTGACTTTCTGTAAAACATTCTTTTGTTTTTTATGTTACCCGAACGAGACACTAACATCATGTTCAGTCCTTTTAGTCTTCTACTGGAAGTTTATTAAAATCATTCTTCCTCTTCCTCTCATTCTCCTTTCCTTCTCCTTCTACATATCTTTTCATTTTCCCCTCTTCTTCTTCTTCTTCAAATTTTTCTCTCTTTTTCCTTTATTTTCATTCCTCTCTTCTCAGTCTTCCTTTTTTCTCATTCTTCCTCTCTTGCATTTTCCTTTTCTCATTCTTCTTCTCTTATAATTCTCCCTTCCTTCTCATTCTTCCTCTCGTTTTTTTATTCTTCCTTCTTTCACATTCTCTTTCTCTTCTCAGGTTTCCTCTCTTTTTCACTCTTCCTCTCTTTTCAATCTTCTCTTCTCATTCTTCCAAGTTTTTCATTCTAAATTCTTATCTCATCTTCATGTACCCACAGAAACAAACTGGCAACGTATGTCTGTATGTAAAAAAAATAACATATATTTTAATAGATGAATTGAATCATAAATTTGCCGAAGAATGCAATTCCTGTACTGCTAGAGATACCAGTCCGATAAAAAAAATAACATTGACGATGGCGAATCCTGTAATCCACCAGGGTCGTGGGTGTACCATATGTACTGGAGCCTTTACTGTTTTGAGCGTCTCTAAGGGAAACTAACCTAACGGAGATAATCTCTTTTTACGGTGGTCTTGAATTCAGTGTTAGCCTTCTACACTTGTTGCTCTACCATGAATAAGGAGCCCGATCTGTCCTGTTACTGAAGCTTGAATTCAGTATATTCCCTTATTCTAGACTTGTTTCTACGCAGAAAATGACTGCACAGTTACTTAACTTAGTTGAAGAAAGATTGGGTTCATGCGTTTTCCAAATGTGATGTGAATTAAACAAACTCGGTTAGAATTTGAATTCGGCACACCGATTCTACCTTTCGTTGCCCCAATCGTACACAGGCAGATTATTTAATGTGTGTAAAATTTTAGGGGTTTAAATAAAATGTTAATGTTTATAAAAAGTTAGGGGTTTAAATATCAAACGGAAAATCTTTAAAAATGGCAAAAGAAAAACACTATATTAGCGCTCGTTCACAAAAGACAAGCCTGAATAAAAACACCATATTAACGTTCGTTCACAAGCCTGATAACGTTGATTTGATCTTCAAATCAAGGGTTAATAGATATCTATCCTTCTTATACTCATAGTCTTCACTTCCTTTCATCTTCTCTTCCACTCAGTTTATCTCACATTACATTCCTCAATACCATATCAACCTTAAGCCGCTACCTTGAGTGACATTTAGTAAAATATACCCTCTGAAATGTTAAGATATTGAAAATTTCATTTTTAACTAAAATTTATAATTCTATTATAATTGTGCTAGTCCTTCCCTAGTTTAGTTAGCACAACCTTTACGTCCAGTCAATGCCTCATCAGTAATGGACTATTTTTGATCGCGTGGAAAGCGGGGAAAAAATTACTTGTTTCAGTTGAATTTGAAAGAAAGATGAACGAAAGAAGGGAAAGAAAGAATTAGATTTGATAAGAACAGATACTGCAATTTGATCTTAGTTAAAAGTCGAAAAGCGATTGTATTTTTCAGTGCTCCTACGTCGCTGCTCTATGACACAAGGTCAGTCTTTTAGAGTGGGTTTACCGGCAATACCAAAGAAAATTGCCCAAGCCCCATCCGTACTCAACCCTCTTTTGGGACGCCTCAGGCATTAAACCCAGCCCCCTCCCGAAGGAGAAGTACTGCTTGGGAAGAAAGCCGAAAAGCGATTTGGCGACCTCTATAAAAACATTTTTCAAACACACACTATCATCGATCGATATAAACAGAGTAAGCAATCGTCAAATCTCCAAATACCATAAATTAAATTAAATAACCTCTGCTGAATTATTATTAAATTATTATTTAGAGAAATGTTCGTAAAAGTTTTTCTCTTCATGTCCATGGCTCTCAGACTATTTTTCTTTAACAAATAATATATTCTACTCCTTGAATATCTTTTTTTGCTCTCACTCCCAAACTTACAATCAGAAAAAGTATCACTAATATTTACTTTACATATATTCTTTTCTGAATTTAGAGATAATATATTGTTATAATTTTACTAATTATTGCAATCAACATTCACCTGTGATATGTTCTGATTTAAAAGAAAAAAAGCCGAACTTGTTGGCTCGAATAACTATTAGAAAAAGGGACCAAACATTTCAGTTTAAAAATAAACTATAAAAACACTTTCAAACTCCTATTTTTTTCGGTACGTACCATTCTATTTTCTATTTTCTTTTCCACACACATGATGATACCTGACTTTCATTCTATTTCAGATCTGCATTTTCTTTCAAATAAAACAAGCCTCATTTCATTTCCTTCCTTCCTTCCTTCCTTCCTTCCTTCCTTCCTTCCTTCCTTCCTTCCTTCCTTCCTTTCTTTCTTTCTTTCTTTCTTTCTTTCTTCCTCCCTTCCTTGCTTCCTTTCATCCATTCATTCATTCATTCCTATCTATCTTTCTGGTCTTTCCTCCTCCTTTAATACATACCTACTTAAATACTTACATACCTAGCAATCTATCTATCTATCTATCTATCTATCTATCTATCTATCTATCTATCTATCTATCTAATGCACAAATTTTTTTCTCTCAACATTTTTATTTCACATTTACTTTCTTCCTTCTTTCTCGCTTTCTCTTCTCTGTCTTTCTTTTTTATCTCCTTTCTCTTTCAATATCATGACCAAACAAACTCTTGCATTTATATAACTAAATCACACCTGGTTTTTGGTAGGCCCATCCCACTGCAATAGTCCGACTCCCGTGAGTTACAAACAACCCTGAACCACCACCAATGGCGTCCCTGTTTCGCCAGTCCATATCTGACGACGCATCTCTTAGATCTTTTAATATCAAATCCCCCGATTCTCCTCACGTATTATTTCTTTCTCCACTTTTTATTTGTGCAATGACTCTGATGGTGGGTGGGTTGCTTTAAGCAAACTTTGTAACCTGTTTTCATTTGCAGAATCCCAAATACCATAGACAGAGTCTCAAGTTGCAATGTACACATTTAGGAGAGCCATCTCGCTTATTCGTTTCCTTTATCAGGTTCGCCGTTTTCTATTTAGGGTCGACCTGTTATTAAACAATATGTGCTGCTGCTGCTACTGCTGCTGAAATGTTTTTGGTGCTGTCAATTTGGCAAAATCTAGCCATTTTGAACAAGTATCAGATTTGTATTATTTCAACCCTTTTTGGTCAGCATATATACCCGGATGATGCCCGTAAAAATATATTATGCTCATATTCACGCAGAAAAAGGCTGAAGAGCCGGCCAATGTAGAGGGTTACTGAATGAGGTGCGTGATATGAACGTGATTTAAAAGGAAGAAATAGAAATTGAAGATTATGAGTATTTGAAGGATAAATAAAGATTATCTCTAAAGTTGAAAAAATTAAGATTAAGTCTTCATGGAAGAGTGTTTCACAAAGTAGCGTTTTTTTTTTAAGACTTGTCAGAATATTGATTGTTTGATTTTTACGGTTTATCAACCTTTTGCATGTTATTTAAAGCCAGGAAACATTTTTAGATTATGAGAATTTTTTCGAGATAATGATTCACTCGTACAATTCCTACTAATTAACCCATATCAGGGGAGATAAGGGGTGTATTCATACCTTTTCTAAAGGTATTTGTACATAATCAATATAACGAACCCAACTGGAATTACAATTCCGATTTTTATTTATTTATTTATTTTTATCAATTCACTCCAAGAAAAACGATAATGCCACTAAGACGCAGGGGTTTATTGGGAGTGAAAGAGAATGAAAGGTTATAAGGGAAACGGAAACCCAATTCTAAACAGGGAACAAGGAGGAACTACTACTGTTCAAAAGATCGAGGGGAGATGAACCGAGCGATTTTCAGCCATAATGAATTACACCATCCGCACAATTAAGCTTGCAACACTTGTTATTCATAAGCGGTCACCTATTCAGGTACTGACTAAAATCGATGTTGCTTAACTTTGGAGATTCTACGAGAACTGGTGTTTCTATGTGATATGGCCGTAAACCGTTGACTGGGTAGAATATACTTTTATCAATGGAATATATATGGGATGAGGGGGATTCAAGCCTGTGGACGTAGCAGGACAGGGCTGGGCAGGGCTGGGCAGGGCAGGGCTTGTGAATTTGTGGCAGGATTATTTATGTGCAAATAGACCCTCGCATATTTGAGTATAATGTAACGGATATCAGTGTTGCAAGTGGAATCAGTCTGTCGAGTTCAAATCCCTACCTCGTCAGCTGCTTTCACTTTGGCATTCGTGCCCTTGCGAAATGGAATAATAGCAGAGGAGGCTTGGAACTCTAGACTTAGATGGCAGCCAATCTAAATATGGACACTCTAAATTCCATCCGGAGGAGTGAGCAAAAAAACTACTAGCAGATCATAACAAAAAAGCCTTCTTAGAAGAACTATAACCGAAATATGGTATTAATAAAATGCGCTTCTACATAAGATCAGAGTGTATCATCTGTTCCCCTCCTCTCTGCCATGTTTTGCTTTCAAGTTGTTCAGGGAAAACAATGACGAAAACTTAATCTCAAGAAATCCTACTTAATTTCACTTAATTCAAATTAATCAAGGAAATCGGTGGGATTTTTAAGAAATAAACGTTCCGTTTCAAATAAACTTTCTGGCAGGAATTTTTACATAAATTCAATAAACAGAGTGAAAACGATTGGAAAAATAAGAAGTGTGCCGCTCCAAATAATCTCCGTGCCGTGAGTGAAATGTGAAATAGCATGTGTATTTTGTACGCATGTGTATTTTTCCATTGCATCGCTGTGGTTAATATCTGAAAACTTCAAAATAATCGCCAAACAATTGTTAACTGGGGCAAGAAATGGCTTGTAATTTTTAACGCCACCCAAAC